TTTGTATAAATGGCAAAATTAAGAACATATTTTGTAATTTTAAGAACCAAAATCATAAACCATTATTATTTTTCATAAATTATGATGAATATAACAGATAAGTTAGTAAAATTGTGTTTGCATTGCTTAAACATACCAATATTTCTTCTTTCTTGTCAAAATCAATGCACTTTTATAGACAAATGGTCATTGTATACGCTTTTGATGAGTTAATTTGATAAAATGTGGATAATGGAAGAATAAAGATTCTTTAACTTATGTGTGTCGAATAAGATTGCAATTATTTCTTTATTTCCATTGCATTTTATTACTGTTTGCACATCAACATGGGTTGTTTTTCTGAATATTAGAGAAAAGATGCTCATATTTTTTTCTTTTGATAAAAAAAATCAAGGCACCTGTATTTGTAATCAGTCGTCTCAAAGGCCTCAGGATGAGATAGTTTATAAAATATGAATAATCTAATAGATTTTGGTATTTTCGAACATCAGGATGGATTGTTTTACGTATGATTTGATGAATATAAAAAAAAAGATACTAATAATTTGTTCTCATTGTTTAAAAATCTCAAAATTTCTTCTTATTATAAAAAATAGTGAAATGCCTCTGGATAAATAATTATTTTTATAAAATTTGAATACTATAAGCATGATAAGGATACAGATGCTTACACTTTTGTTTGTATTGAATAAGAATGCAGTTATTGTTTTATTCAAAATTAAAAGGAATTCATGAACAATCATTTGATTTGCGTTTTTTTTAACATCAATATAGGTTGTATTTCATAAAATAAAATAATTCTGTAATGCGTTTGCTAAAATTTTGTTTAAATCATCTAAAAATGTCAATATTTCTTCTTTTTATAAAAACATTATGTACTGTTGTTTGCAATCAGTTATTCATGATGCCTCTGGCTGGATTATTTCTTTGTTTTAATGAAACTAATGAACCTCTATTGTATGTCGTAAATTATGATGAATATAACAAATAAGTTAGTAAAAATTTAAAATAGTGGTTTTCATAAGATATGATCAATAAAAAGCATAATAAAAATACCAAACCAAAAGCATATTCAAAACGGAAAAATCCAAAATCAATCGCTAACAATCAACGGAACAAGTGTAAAACAATTGTTGTATTCCTGACTTGGTACAGGCATCTTCCGAAGAAAATGGTGGGTTAAACCTTGATTTAGAGCTAGTTAAACCTTCCACTTGTATGACTGTTGTTTATCTTATCAGAAAAAAAAAACTAAAAATGTTGTTCGAATTGTTAAAAAATGCAATTAGTTTTTATCAAAAATAGTCCCCTGTTGTTCGAAATCATTTTTTTAAAATGCTTATAGATACGTTATTTTTTATATACTTTGAATAACATAAGGATTAAGATGCTTAAATTTATGTTTGTGTTGAAAAAGAATGCAATTATTTCTTTATCTTAATGTAAATCATGACCCACCATTGGATTTTAGTACAAAAATGTGAGTAGTATATGGATATAGATACCTTAACATTTTTGTGTTAAATTCAAGTACAATTATTTCTTCATTATGTTATATTGTAATGGAAATCATCAACCATATAATTAGTTTTGCACATCGGGTTTGGTTCTTCATAAAAGATGAATATTGTAGGAGAAAACATACTTTATATTTATTGTGCATTTTTTATAGTGTCCCCTTTGCATATTTCTTTAATTCATTAAAATCATGCACCGACATTTGTTTTTTTGATTTTTTTTTGCATTTCGGCAAATTTAATAGATTTTAGCAATCGCAATAAACAACGTTCTTAGCACTCGTCGTGTTTGATGAAAAAATGCCTTTATATCAACTACAATCACATTTTTTTTTTTCATATAAAATTGAAATTTTAGTTCTATCAGCATATTTCACCTCACAATTAACAAACGTAACATTGTAGATGTGATAACTTTGCTGAGTGATTAGTTTTAACTTGTCGGTATCCTTATTTTACCGTCTTAATTTGTAAAATTTCATTATGTGACCTAGTAGAGTTCAAAACGTCAGAAAGGTAAATTGGTTTGATCAGTCAGATATTTTCGCTAGTAGTCTGATGGATTGATGACGGGAGTTTAGCGTGAACTTGAATGATCGATGACTGCTGACTGATCGTTGAAACAGTAACTCCTAAGGGTGTAAGTCCTATAGTTTTGTGTACGTTGTTAAAATTTCATTTCACTTTTTTTTCATATCTAATATGTTCGCAATTGTAAACGTCTCAGCATTAGTAAGTAAGCAAACATTCTACTTATCAATAACTTACAATACCAAAATTGCAGGTATTTGATAAGCTGTATTTTACAAAACTGTTCAGATTATAATTCCTCAATGTTCTTCAACTTCATACTTTATTTAGTCTTTCAACTTTATTTTATTCGAGCGTCAATTTTTTTAAGAAGAAACACACAGCTGGGGATTCACAAGTATGCGCATTGTATCTTTAATACATGTGTTTTGCATGAGGTTCTTTACTTTTGATATTGAATGTCACATTTCTAGCATTTTGCATTTTTATTATGTTTGTTTATAAACTAGAACGTAATCGAATGTTGTTCACCACATTCGTTCTTTATGAAAAGAAGGTTTCCTAATACCGTACCAAACGAGATGATAAAGTGATGGAATAAGATGAGTCAAAATAACCTAAAATATTGGTCAAATAGGTTTCAGTATTACACTTTTAAAAAAATCTAAGTAATTTAAATTCAAACGGAAACAATTGAACAATACAAATGCATATTTGGTTTTTAAAAGATGTTTGACATCAACCTGTTTCTCTCTTCTATATCACGCATGGTTAAAGTGATAAATTCGATCATAAAAACATTCAATGTAATTTTATTCTTTTTAACAAACCGAAATTCAATGAATAATGTAGTTAAATTTGTATAGACCAAATGCTTCCAAATTGATTCATTCTTTACATAGAATTAAACATGCACTGCCAGTAGTTATATATTATACAACAAAACAATATAAAAAAGATACCAGGATAAAAATTATGTATGCCAAATGCATATTTCGTCTACAAAAGAGACGGAAGATACCAGAGAGAAAGTCAAACTCAAAGGTAGAAAATAAACTGACCCATGGCTAAAACCTAAACTGAAAAAGAGACACCAAACAGTATACAAAACACACAAAACCGGATGTGATTGTATGTATTGTTTGTTGATGATTTACCTTCATGGAAAGCGTTCAAACCAGAAATGTTTAAAGCCAAGGATTTGTGATAACCGAAACAGTTGAAGTATGTGACCATAGAGAACTTGTAGTTCAGTAGTTGTCGTTGGTTCATGTTAGTTATATCTGTTTTTCGTAAATTGTTTTGTCATAAATTAGCAGTTAGTTTTTTCAATTGAATTGTTTCATATTGTTCATGTCGGGCTCTTTTATAGCCGACCATACGGTATGGGTTTGTCTCATTGTTGAAGGCTCTACGGTTGCCTATAATTGCTTACATTCACTTCATTTGAACTTTCGTGGATAGCTGTCTCATTGGCAATCATACCACATCTCCTTATTTTTATATAAACAAAACTGGTTAATTCAACCTAAGGTTAACTTTAATTGTATGTGTTGAAACCTAAGTTTTTTAATCATTTCTAAATCTAATAAGCGAAACTTTAACATCATACAAATATCACATTACAATATTTGGCATGATTAATGACAATACTTATTCAATAATCTGAAAGAACAAGCTGTCATCTTAACATGTTCACTTTACTACTTATTCAATTAATTTCATTGTCGTTTCTATAATTCATTGCTAAATGGTATGCTGAATGCTATGAATATTTATTTGAATTTTTCAGCTTGTAAGTGTCAAGTAGCAAACAGATAAGTATAGCGTACACTTATCTATCCAATTCATAATATAACGATATTTATACAATGGTGTTAGTAGAATAGTAAAGTAAACCCGTAAACATACCATGCAAATGATGTGTGATAGACGCGCGTTCCGTCTACAAAAGAGGCGGAAATACCAAACAGACAGTCCAACTAATTAGTTGAACATCAACTGACAACGCCTTGGTATAATCTCAACAGACAAAACGACAAACAACAGTATACAAAAAACAAAAAACCGGGATTGATTTTACGTTCTGTTTTCTAAATTTACCTTAACGGGACACACTCAAGGCAGAAATGTTTAAATCAAAGGACGTATAAGTATATGACCATAGAGAACATACACGAAAATAATTATATCAACTTAACGTCAACATTACTTGAGGGTGTTAAAACCTAAGTTTCGTTATCATTTCTAAATTTATAAAGCGACACTTTAAAATCATACAAATACCACATTTCAATGTTTGGCATGACTAATGACTTTACTATTGAATAATCTGACAGACCAAGCTGTCATCTCGAAATGTTCTACTATCATTTTAGTACAAATTCAATTGATTCCATTTTCGTTGTAATAATTCATTGCTAAATGGTATGCTGTATTCTATGAATATTTATTTGAATTTTTCAGCCGGTAAGTGTCAAATAGCAAACAGATAAGTATAGCGTACAATTATATTTGCAATTTATAATATACCAATATTTATATAATGGTGAACGTAGTGTAGTAAAGTAAAACAATACACATACCATTTTAAGAGAGAAATACTCAAAAAAAGTATTTAGAAATGTGTTGGTAAAACACTATTATCTGCTTTTCTTTAAAACAACCCTTTTGGAAAGATTATAAGAAATTGTATTTTTAGATTATTGTTGTAAAGTATTGAAATATGAGAATACATTATGAAATAATATGGCTTGATTATGACAATTAATAGTTTATAAAACTTGAATCATGCGATTATTTATGTAGCCACTAGATATGCTAATTACGTGAAAATATCCAAATTTTTCCTAGTGTCACATCTTGGTATATCCTTATGTTTGTATTAGGAAGACAGTACTTAACCGATGTCCAAATTGTGACTTTATGTTAAGTCTTGTTTAATATTTTTGATTAAAACTATCATTTAATAACTTTTCAAAAAATAGAATGTTGTGCTACATACCATGTATATATTCCTTATTATGCAGTTACTACTCATCAATAGGCGATCAGCAAACGAACATCACATTATCAGTATGCTAGTATTTACATAATGTACATTTCAATTTTTTGTTCTACTATGATTGCTATATAATTAACTACTGTACACCATAGATACAAAACACCTACAAACAAAATTGATGCTATCGTGATTTTTATAAACTCTAAAAGAGAAGATAATGAGTTTACAACTATTTTTGGGATATAGGTATTCGTGTTCACCACTTGGTTTGTCATTTTTAATATCTATACTTCGTTTGAATAGATACAACATTCAAGAAAACACATTTTCTAGTTAAGAAAACGAAAACACTTCGAAAACAATATGCTGAACATATTCAGTAAAATTTATAAACTGTTTTTTTAGATGAGTATTTGCTGTATAGTGATTGTCTTAAATTATTCCTCAGATTTTAAACTTGTATTTTTATTTATATTTTTTAGAGCACCGTAAGTGTTATGGACCATAAAGATAAGTATATTGTGATAAGTTTACAAAAAATGAAAAAATGAAACGACAATAGATAGTGAATGTTGTATATAGTGTTATTTTTTTTAAATTGGACAATATAAAAACAGTTCTTATCAATAAAGACGCAATTATATAGAAGAAACAAAACCCATTCGTATATTAGAAGCAATGCGATATTTTGATCAGTGTGATTTAAATGAAATATTAAGTAGTCTGAATTCAAACGTGAACAAATAGAAAATACAATTCGTATTGTTGTTTATAAATATCTTTAACAACACCATGTTGTACATGTATCTGTAAACGGACAATATTTGAAAGTTTTATAACCTTTGATATCCACAGTTAACTAATTATTACTCACGTATGGAATTTTTATATGCTTTAATTGATAAAGGAACAAACATGTTTTTCAGTTGCGTTTGTTATTTGTTATGACAGTAAGACCAAACAGGCAATAGAAGACTGAAGTTCAACCAGTGCTTCAGAAAACATTATATGTTTGTGATTTTAAAATATTACAAACACAAAATTTTAATTTTTGTCATGATTATTGACTATAACATTTAACAAAAAGCTGTCAGTTCTACTATCACTTTACTACTTATACAACGGCGGCTTCTATAACTCATTGCTAGATGGTATGATGTATTGTATGATCATTTACTTGATTTTATATTTTTTGCAGTCGGTAAGTGAATAGTTTCAAACAGATAAGTATAGTTTACAATTATCTCGCAATTTATAACATGACGATAGTCTTTAAACTTGAATAATGTTCTTAATTATGCCGGTTGCAATAAGCGGAATGATCTAATTGCGTAACGATATTCCAAGTTATCCAAATGTCGTATATGTTTAGTATGTCCGTATTTCTGAAAAAAGGTGACAATATGTCTAAATTGTAACAATATTTTTTTATCTTGTGACTTCTTTCTCATTATTCCTTTCATGTTATATATCTATATGTCCAATCAATGTATCAATTCCCTATATTTACATACTATGCTGTTAACCAGAGTTCCTGGTTATTTGATTAATCGTCGCCATTCAAAGTTGTTTCCGATTAATAATAAATGTATGACGTCATATGTTTTTAAAACATAGTTCTAGAATTACAAAAACAAACATGTGTTGTCCTTTGTGTTATTTAATATATATATATCATACCATTACTATTTCAAATATATGTATTATTTAACTTTATTCGGTAACTGTCAAGTACCAAATCGAAAACTAAAACTAAAAACTTTGAGCATTTGTTGTCATAGGAATCATATGACAAATGGCAGTCTTCTTATAAAAGTGGATACATGTGATAGTTGCAATGTTTGAAAATTGTTATCAAGATGCATAAATAACACTGTTACTTTGCTTATGCAAAAATCAAATAAACTTGAATATTTTAATTTGATAAATTATGTGTTCAGTCATTAATCTATTAGCCAATAGGATAAACATTACAACATGTGGTAGAATTGACAATGAGACAGCTACCCAACATAGAGTAAATTATGTTGATGGTAGTTACAATAAGTCACATTACGGGCAATATAGAGTAAATTATGTTGATGGTAGTTGCAATAAGTCACATTACGGGCAATATAGAGTAAATTATGTTGATGGTAGTTGCAATAAGTCACATTACGGGCAACATAGAGTAAATTATGTTGTTGGTAGTTACAATAAGTCACATTACGGGCTTTTCCACAAATACCGTATATTAAAGATTCCAAAATGACAATATGTGAACCATTTCAAACTATAGAACTTAAAACTGTTAGGTCCGATAGGTTAATACATTTTGACAAAAGTTCGACAATAATATAATATGTTCTCATTGTAGCTGTTCCTGTGGAGAGTAAGTATTGAAGATAAAGCTTACGATTAATATTTTTCTTCGATGGCGCGGATGTACATTATATGCATAAGTCATCAAAAGAAGTACATATAATGATTATTGTATCATTGATAGCTATACACGAAGTATAACATGTTTATTTTCAATTAATTTGTTTCATGCTTAAAATTTACATGAAAAAGTACAATGCGTAATAGTAAAAGCTAAATGATAAGTTAATATTGATATTAAAATACCTCCGAACAAAAAGGGATGTTGAGATTTCCGAGCCCGAAGGGCGAGGGGATTTGAACAGCCCTTTTTGTGATGAGGTCTTTTGATGTCATAATTAATTAATCATTGATCTTTTACTAACTTACAAACCGTCAAAAACTTTAGAAAAATACACTAAAAACACTAAAAACACTTGCAGAAACCTATTTCCCCTGAATTGGTCGAGTCTAAATATATTCAACACAAATAATAGATAAACAGTACTCAGACTGATATAGACAAATAGCAGTTACCTAATTGCATTCAAAACGGACCGATTAAATGATCTTTAAAACATCATTTAATTTTTTATTTATTATAATGTTTTAAGCATTTTGATAGGACCATAAGATAGTTTTATGAAATTAAGGGGTAAATTTATATTTTTGAATTCCAAATTTTCAATATAATGATTTTGATTTTATAAATAAGGAAATCAAAAACCCTATACAGACCTCATTTACAACTGACCAATGAATGTTCTGCACCAAAACTTCTTGTTATATATATTTGATGTTTTTAATCTGTCAGTAATTATGAAATAGATTCGTAAAGACACCAAATGAAAACAGTAAGTAAACTCTTCCAACATCAGCTATTTAAACAGTATGTTTCACAACTTCTATTCAAACATACCTAGATGCATAAGGTCCTTCACTATGTTTCATGCAAATGCAAAATAATAAGTGTTGTCTGTTCAGTTCAATTAATTAATAAATCGTATTTTTAGTCTTGATTTTGCGGTATGGGCTTTGTTCATTGTTGAAAGACGTACGGTGACCTATAGTTGTTAATTTCTATGATATTTGGTCTTTTGTGGTGTGTTGTCTCAGTAGCAATCATACCTGACTCGATCAAAACGTGTATAGGTGGAATATTTTCGCAAGGTTGATAATCATTCTTAAATTGAAATGCAATATATTATATGAAAACAAACACTTTTATTTTAGTCGTCCGTCATTCCCTTTTCACATCTAAATGTTGTATAAACAAACAACTTGAAAACAGCCTTTTATCTTTATAAGTTTTATAGTCGCCTGACAAAACCTTATATTATAAATCGCAATTAAATCGTAGATAAAGAACCGTAGTAAAAACATTATACAAGTATAGGTGTTTAGCTATGTAGTAAATTGCAAAACCATAAAAAAAAGTTTACACTATTAATGAGTAATTTAAATGGAAATTTTAAGTAATAACATTTTACAAGATCTTGTCTTCGTGTACTGTGTACATTGAATAATTTATGGAGTTGGTTGATTGTTGTTTGCTTTACCTCCTGGAGAAAATATGTCATGCATGTTCATGACGAGAACACATGAATTTTGAATACAATAGGTAGATATTGCAATAGGATGTAGACATTGAGGTAGGACGTGAAAATTAGAATATCACTGGAAACTGAAGATATATTGAGTAAAGACAGAAATTAGCCTTGCAACAGCTGGCCACATCCGAACCCCTTAAATGATTGGTGCAAAAAAAGTGAATTTGCAGAGACCGTTAATCCATGAAACCTATTCAGAAGTCATCCATCCATATTTATGTGTAGTTTCTAAAATAATTTAACATTTCTAATTTCGGTTTTATACTTTTATCACCACTTTAGTAACTATGAAATTTTTGTGAAACTGTATTTTATTTGTCTCTGTACATTAGTTTTTGGTATGATATTCTGTACTATCGCTCTCCTTGTTTGTTTCATGTGTGTGTTTTCCTTCAGATCGGGAGGTCGTGGTTCGAATCTCGACCAGGTCTAACAAAGTCGTAAAAATGGTACATGTAATTGCTGTTTCAACGCTAAACTAACGGTATTTAAAAGTAAGAGCACATACTTGTCGGTTCGGAGCCAGAAATGTTTTCGGGTAGGGTGACTGTTCTTCCTGCGAAATGATATCTTCATGCGAACTAAGGCGTAAAAAAACTGGCGGTAAATATGTGGTTTAATTTACTTTTGAAAAACTGATATTGATTTATTCTATGTTCCGAAAGAGAAAAATATGTTATAAATAAAAAAATATATATATTTATCAAAATACAGAGCTAGCATGTACTGTTTGTTTATCGAGGACCAATAGTACACTTTTACAAAGGTCAGATGCAGTTCTTATTGAAATGTTAACACGACTTGCATGGCCGTTGTTCCTTAAAATTGAACGTAAACAACATCAGTCCACACTATTTGTTGCGTCAAATCGTGCCCAAATACAAGATCAAACAAATGAACCAATAACAGTCCTTAAGGAGTTGTTCAGTATATTATAAAATTGAGAGAGGAAATGGGGAATTTGTCAAAGAGACAACAACCCGATCATCGAGCAGAAAACAGCCCAAGGCCACCAATGGGTCTTCAACACAGCGATAGACTAGTTTGTTATCTAAAAACTAAAAATATGGAAGTTAATGTTGTGGACAACAAAACTACGAACATTTAAGCAAACCTTCATTTACATCGTTGACGAACTAATTGCATCCAGGAAGCAGATAGCACAAATTTATAATATTTACAATATCACTTGTAAACATGTATGATGTATAATTTTAAGTTAAACAAAAACAACCATTGTATTTATTTCTTCAGATGGATGAATCTCATAAGATAACAGTGACAGCCAGTAATAAACATTAGCGAAACACAGAAATGATGGAAAACACTACCTTCCGATGCATAAACAATATTAAACAATCTGAATGTAATGTGTACTTGTTTTATTTGGATGCACGTTTTATGTTTAAAATAAATATGATTCTGATACATCAAAATAGAAACTTTACAATTGTTTCCCTAAAATCTGTTTTAACCACATAAGAATTATGTCGTACGTGTTGCATCACACGAATCATTTATACTTTTATATTTTCTTATGTCAGATAATTATTAAATGCTCTCCCGTAACTGAATATTATATCAAATTCAAAATAATTAGCTATACTTCTTACCAATCAAGTGTTATATAACTACAATCAATATCCTAGTGTCCGTTACTTATTCAAATTGATTTCACTTTTCTATTTATCCTACAAAAAATGTTATTATAAAACTTAACGTATTGAAAAGCATTATACACTGTCGGAATAGTCCTAGGTAATTGATTCGAAACAAATCAACACTGTAGACTTTTCTAGTACTTCAAGTTATTATTCAAATTGTACACAATATGTCTATAACCCTACAATGTATTTCTTTATGTGGATTCAATTATCATACATATATTTGATTTATACGTTCTTTCTGCATTTAAACTAGTAAACATGTAGATTGAAATTGTATTATATTTAACGCGCGAGACTACTATACATAATTTTGTAATATGTATATGAATGTTATTTCTTTTGTTTTATAAAATGTTATGATTATATTTAAATGTGTAGTCTTTCGAAATCATGAAGTAAAGTTGCAACTGGTTTGACTAGAATGTGTTTTACCTGTTTCGCCCACATCGTCATGTCTTTGATAGAAACATTTCGTCAACGTTTTCACGGCTTCGTTGAAAGGGAATTATTTCATATTTGGTGCGCAACTTGATAATGTTGAGTTGTGGCGACTTTCTGTTTGCCAATAGTTCAAAATAACTCTGATTGTACAAGGAGAATGTTCATAAAAGTTTACTTGGCCTGATTGAAAGGAATGATTAGTTATGTTTCAGTATACATGTTGTTATGATATTGTTATTATCATGTTTATTTATCTTGGCCTAATTTGTTTTGTGTGGCCTTATAATATTTATAATATGCTTACATCATATTTATAGTTGTTTACAAAATAATGTTATAATTGTGCAGTTTAGAAATCACTTGAACAATCATAGATACTGATGGAATGATTAGAACTTTCTATTTGACTGACATATTAATTCTGAAATGATCATAATATACGATGTGTAATTTAAACTTCCACTATATTCTAGGAGTTTTGCTTCTACAGTGTTCTAGAGGTTTCCGTGACAACTACATATACAGACACCGAAATTATACTTTTTTAGACATTAATTTACTTGGATTCACAGGAGTTCTCTGAAGTTGTTGTATTGATACTTTATTTACGTTAACTACATCATACTAGAATGGACATATTCCGTACAGTTAAGAGAATAATTCCGGATAAAGAAAAGACAAAAGACCGGACATATAACTTAACAGTTAAGTTAACATTTCAATTTGTATAATATTTCTTGTAAACTTGTGTATAATAAATCCTGATAAATATTATTATTGATTTGTGTCTTTTGTTGGCTACAAGTTAAAGGTGATTTCTGGCCGTAACAATGTCATCCAAAATGATTGTATGCAGCGACGCAGTTCCAGACATGATATTGGCCTTGTATTAAACACGGAAAAGACACTTATTGACTAATCAAACACATGCATCAGTTGTTCGGATATCAGATAAAAAGTAAACGCTCAATGTTACCCATAATTTCTTAGAAGTAACACACTATCTGCTCCATCGTATGGTGTTTAATATCTTAGTAAAAACTTGAAGCTCTTCCACACTTTAAACACTTCATTAACACGGGTTTGCTCCTTACTGAAAACTTGCTCGAATAGAGTTATATACTACATACATTTTAAGAATTTATTGACCAATATGGTATGTATGTGTATCAACTCACTAGTGACATGGTTTCGCGGTCTAAGTTCTTTTGATGAAATTATAATCGTCTAATTATGTCAGATTGTTACATTTTGACTTAGTAACACAGCATCCATTTCTTATATCTACTAATTTTTAAAATTGAAATATATGTATTATTAATATTTTTAATCTGAAATTAAAATTTAAACACACAACAATTAATGTGATAGTGCGAGGAAATGCCATGCAATCTTGATAACAGTCGTTTTTATTTGTAAACCAACTAGAACAAATTTGTTTTTCTGCTAGCAACATTCAAACTCTTTCTGGCTTTAACACTAATAGGGAACATACAGGGTATATATTACATACATGAGTCGGAGGAACATGATTTGCTGCCGTGTACATATAAATGTATCATGTTGCTCAGGAGGTAAAAAAATCGATAATACGTTGTATTTTGTGTCTGAGGAAAAGAACAAGAGATTGTGGGTACAAAAATTTGAACATACGCGTGGATATCTGTGACAAAGCTATACCATTACCGTAAAGTATTTCAAGATGGCGTCAGTGAATCTTGAGTATTTGAAGATATAATTTCATCGTTTCCAATAGGAACACATTGTTCAATGGTTATCTTGCCAGCAGACCCTTACAAGACAATCAATATTTGAAAATCGCATAAACAAGGAATTCAGAAATTAATGATGGCATATTTCATTGTGATTGTTGATTAATAAACATTTCAGGAAATGCTATTGTCTAAGTTTAAATGCCATTTTTTTTTTATTTTTGAGAACTCTATCCTTTTCTAATATTGTTCCCATAGGCAAGCGCTACTGTATGTAACTACATATATATGATAAATTGGTAATTTTAAGAGAAGAACTGACAATACAAAGGCAAAAGACAAAGACGAAAAAAAAGGAAAACTGATTGAATTAAACTATATCGACAATTGTGACGCCTCCTATGCTCTGTAGCATGGAAGGAGTACGACTTAATATCATATATCATTCATATCATAATCAGATGATAAAAACAACTTCATATGTAAATGGTTTATAATTTAGTAAGTTATACAAGACGAAACATCAAACAGTAACAAAATGATAATGATGCCATGTGTAATCTTGAATTTTTCCTTAATTTATTAGTTTGTACCGTTTTTTTTTTTTTTTCGTTAAATCCTTTTATATTGAAATTTTGATTATTGTCAGGTTGGCATTTTAGTGACGTATCATCTAACATAACCTTGGATTAATTATTCCAGTTATCTTCCCAACATATTAGCCAATTACTATTTAACATGTCTAATCTCTTTAAGATTGATAACCTGTGTATATGTTCTACTTTGCAAAGCTAGTGTCCCTTTCTTTATGAATAGTTATGTCATATATATTAACACAAATACTAAACAAAAACACATCTTTACCCTTACATATAGGTTTATATCAAACTGGATATGAAAATAACCCAGATATATTGATTTAAAAATAAGATTTAAGTGATCGATTGTTGGTTGCTTAACATCCAGTGGCAACTATTTCTTTTATTGTCCGGTGGATGTTTTATACATGTACTTGCTAGAATTTTTATTTTGTGCGTATAATATAACAGGTCCAAATACAATGTATGTTGTTAAACTTGTTTATCGAAACCATTGTCTGCTTTGCTAGATCAGTAATGCCATGTTGTGAAAATAGAGTAACAGAAGCGAAATCGTGAGCAGGAAAATTATCGTCTATCTGATAACATGAATTGTATACTGATTATACGACAAAGCCATTTTTTTAAGTTTCCGTGAATTGATATATGAAATATGCTTCATTCACGCCTGTGATTTTTCTTCTCGTCGTTCATCATGTTTTGTCATCTGTTTGCCCTTTTCTCAACTACTTTTTTTGTCATTTCGTATCTTCCACCTTTTTTTTTTGTTAACAGATAAAATTATACCTAAAAAATAGCCAGATTCATCTAAGGTCAACTTAGCCTGAGGGAGTTGAAACCTCCTTTTTTTATAATTTAAAATTTATATACGAACAATTTTAGAAATGTTTGTTTCAAATCATGTGAGTACCGAAGAACTAAATGCTGAGCTGGTAATACCATTGGGGACTAATAGTCCACCAACAAAGGTATCGACCCAGTGCTATAAAGAATGAAAACAACACGTTATAAAATCAATGCGTTTGAAGCGCTTTTCTTGATTAACCTTCATCAGGACACTCAAAGCTGAATATTTGAAGGCCAATGTTGTTTAAGAACCGAAACAGTTGAAGAGCTATATGACCAAAAGTACCTAAAATAGCCAAATCCATCTGAGGTCAACTTTGCCTGCGGGAGTTGAAACCTCAGTGAGTTAATTTGTACCTAAAAAAAGATGTTATTGTTTTAATGTTAACAAGAATGTCCTTCTCATTCATCATTATCTATCGATTAAACTACTTAATATTTTACAGAGTTATCTCCCTGTAGTGTTAGGTATTAAACTACTTAATATTTGCCCAAAAATCTTCAAACAAATTGATAATTTGAATCATCAAGATTATTTGATTTGAGTTCATGCTGCAGAATATGTAAAATTGATGCTAGTACATGTAACAACATGGACTTTTTATATGTGAGTTTCAGTTAAAATTTAAAGACTTTTGTGAAACGAAAGAGTGAGGAATAATGCATTTCGAATAATTTTCATACAATAATGTTGATCGGGCTGTATTTCTGGATAACTATGATTGACTAGGGCTACGTATATTTTGTAAATAATATTGCTACAAAATGAATTAATTTTCATTGATGTCTTGAATTAGTATATCAAACAACTAATTAAAGAAGGACATCTATTAAAATATTCATCATCATTCAACGTTTGAAGTTTTTCTATACGAATAAATATCTCAGTCTATGTTTCATTGTCAAGTATTAAGTACTTGACCCAAAAGGCTAACAATTAATTATGATCACACCAAGGGTATCCTTTATCTGATGATGATAAGTCTCCACTTGATTAAATCAACCTGATGACTTTTAGAAAGTCTGTTTCCTGTGTTATTCGCCTTTGGAACGTACAAGTACTATCGTCCTTCAGGATAAAGTATTTTCACTTGGCAAGACCTACAGCTTTTAAATTGCTAGTCTTTTTAAAATAAAATGAAGGCATTCAAAGTGTGAAATATATAAGATTACCTAGCACTGGGGTAGAATTCATTCCTTAATGTCGCTGGTTTTGTCAATGTTAGTTTAATAGTATTCGAATCATTAAATCACGGGCTCCTGACTGTTGACAAACACATACAGAAGGTGGCTGGTTGTGCAACCCATAACCCGAGATATTGGTGTAACACACTACAAAAAACTAGGAAAATCAGTTCAAAGGGTTGATTAAACAGATCGGCACTAATTAACACACACACATTACCCAACAACAACAAAAGACAACGCATGGCAGAGATCTTTAAGTACTCTAGATTACTGAAAAAATGTTTCAAAGTCAATTGAAACTCATAAATAAATCATAATTATATGTATTTAAAGGGTAAATGTCATAAGACCTTGTAAAATGCAAGTAACATACGTGTCGTACATGTAGTATACATGTAGTCTTACATATTAAGTTATGTTTTAATTTATTTGAAACAAAATATCAATGTAAGTACTGACGAACACAAAAGTAAAAAAAACAGTAAAAGTAAAATGTACAGTGGTAAATTGATAAATAAGTTTATTCAACGAATTCATAATTATTCATGGATCATATGTTAATTTGCCGAACTTTTTTACAAAATCACAATAGAAATAAGAATGCGATATTTCGTTTTAAATAAGGTCTTCACGTTAAGCCAAATTTTAAAACACATTTTTTTCTATTTTAAGGAAAAAGGTTTTAAGCTACGTGTGGTGACGGAATCCCTGACTTCATTATTTACCAACTATACATGGTTCACGCTAATTAAAAACTAAAACGTCACTAGGAAGAATTCTTATAACTTCGACACTGGTTAAATCGGCACCTGGTCAAATCGGCACATGTGATTGTTATTTCGGCACCTAGTCAAATCAGGCTCTCGTTAATTCGACACCAGGGGTCTTTTCTTCAACTTGGCGTTAAACTAATCATATGATTATTTTTAACGAGTCGTTAAAAGTTAATCGCATGAATAGTAAATACAATGATTAATTTGTGTTGTTCAGCTGATTGTAATCATTGTATTAGTTAATCACTGTATACATTTTTAATCATATGATTAGTTTTGGCTAATTAGCAAGTGTTTCCCACAATACATTGTAAATCAGGACCTATAACTTCCTTTTCTGTTTTAAATTATAACCTACTTCTTTTTACCCAGTTTTTGGGTGCCAAATATATATGATTGAATAAATATCGTATAACATGTTCATATTTGTATTGTAATATATACATAGTTTAGATTCATCAAAATTGTCTGTTTGAGTTAAAATTAAATGTGCTTGAATGGGGGAATGATTTAAGAAATGCAGAAATTAATGCATTCTGTTTAACAAAATGTGCTTTCGGGTACATTTTGCAATAATAAACATCTCCATTCATCCATTACTGATCATGACTAGGCTCAAAGTTTTTCATTTGTTTGTTCACAGAAGTTGTTATCTG